CAATTGTTAGTCCATTGTTTATACACTGAATTGTCGAAGGATTTACCGTTATTTCACGATCATGAAAAGGAGCACACAGCGGGTGTAACCGGTGGGCAGGGGATGCTCACTTCTCCATGGCATCTAACCCCATATCTGATGTTTTGGAGGTCCTTGTTTGCTCTGCTCCTATCTTTTATTGTTTTATGGATTTCGATATTGGATACTGCTCGTTATCTCAAGATCCTTCTCAAACTAAATATGTAGCGAACATAGAAGGACATGTATCCGTGTTTTTTGTTTTGAGTTTTAATAAAGTTTTGGTTATAAATTCTAAAAATATACTTGATAAAAATTCTTATTACTCTTGATAGTAGAATCCAATTTAATCTTCCTAAATTATTTAATTTAAAAATATTAATCCATTTATATGTAAGTATTAATACATAGTAAGATATTCAAATGCATACACACATAAAGACATTCTTATAACGTTAAACAGCAACTTCAGTTATCTACTCCTGGTAGAAATGACCTTATTAGAAAACAGAATCAGGATAATGATAACTAGCATTAAATCAACAGAAAAGGGAAGCATGCAAAATAATAATCAAGAAAGAATTCAAATCAACATCGATGCTATAAAAATTAGTTCCCTACATTGTAAATAAGAAGCAGAATCGCTAATCCCAGACACTTTGTTGGGAGGGACTGTTCTTCTTTAAATTTTATTTCTAAATTCAATAAAAAGCTTCCACAGGAAGGAAAAAAAATCTTCAGTCATGGCAAGCCTCTTATCCTCTGAATAGTTCAAAGCTATTGTCAGAGCATTAGAAAAAAACCAAATATCTGCTTCATTTTTTCTCTTGAAAGGTGGAAAAGGTAAGAATTAGAAAGATACGATCCTCTATTTGTTTAAATCAAAGTGAAAGACCACCTACACCGAGATAAATCGTAGATAAACCTTCCACCATATAATGCTTGTTTTTGCCTATTAGTTAACAGATTTGGACTTGTTCTATAGTAGGTTAAAAATTCCCTATGGAACATTGTTTTGTATATATGTGATTTTATACAACGTAAAATATGCTGTTTTGAATATTTAATATACACAAATCATTTAATTTCCACACACTCTCACAACACATATAAACCCTCACGCACTCCAAACGCATCCACCCACACCCACATATATATGCTATATTAGTTAATAAGTGGAAGTCAATCATTTATATGGAAGGATGCTTACTATGAACCTTCTCTTTTTTAAAATGCATTTTTGGTTACTGTCATTGATTCCACCTGAAATAGACCGATTATTATTTAATTCAGTATTCATGAAACTAGTGCTGATTGTAACGGGAACCGTTACAGATGTTCCCCAAACGCTCCCAACTTCCTTTTGGTGCCTCATTCCCTCTAAGCTTCATCTAATAAGGCAAACTCTATGCATCTTAGACATTAACAACGTTTTCCCTAAGTATACCATGTACATCGCAAATTTTCGCATTGCACGTGAGCGCATGTGCAAACTTATGCAAAACGACCATATCATTTTATCTACACTATCAATTACTTTAATGTACCTAATATTTAGACATTTAATCAAAATGTATTAAAAGATACGCTAAAACCAGTGTATTTTTAGTTTTACTCATTGCACGTGCATGCACGTGCATGCATGTGCATGATGACCAAACCTTCCTGTAGGAGTCCATATTGTCTGTATATGGTGTATATCACATCCCAATTGGTTGGAAAACAAGGGAGTAATAGCTATTTTAAGTTTAAGCCAATCAGATTGCAGCGCACGTGCATGCGCGTGTTTTCATGACAATTTTTTCATATCATATTGTGGGATATCCTAATGCATGACTATGTTCAAGATATCAAAGCATTTCTTCAAAAAACAAGAAAGATATTGAGAATTTAGTTTCAGCCAATCAGAGCAAAGCACACGTGCACGCGCGTGAGATCTTGCTATTTTGACCATGTCCTCTTGTCTAAGCTTCTAATATATCCTTATGTTATGAGTTTCAAAGCATTTCATCACAAATTTAAATAGTAACGTCTATATCAATTATATTTAATTTCTCGTGTTGCACGTGCGCGCTCTTGCAAACACACGTGCGTGCACATTCTTTTATCATAATTCTTTTACATCAGGCTGTAGATCTCCCTAATGTATAACTATGTTTAAAATTTCAAAGGATTTCATCAAAAAACAAGAAAGATATTGAGACTTTAGTTTCAGCCAATCAGAGCGAAGCGCACGTGCATGCGCGTGAGATCTTGCTATTTTGATCATGTCATCATGTGTACAGTACTATTATATATTTATATTATGAGTTTCAAAGCATATTATCAAAAAATAGAAAAGTTACGGCCATATCTATTATATTGGTCATTTTACGTGTTGCACGTGCACGCTCTTGCAAGCACGTGCGCGCAAAATGACCTTGATTCCGCAAATCTACATTACATGTCTACTAACCCTAAAAAGGTTTTACCTACTTCGGGTGAACAGTTTATAAGATCAATCGCGGACAAAAAAGTACCCAGGAAGAAGAAGAAAAATAATAACTAGAAAGTCTGCTATTGCAAGCAATAGCATATGTCGCCCCGTATTAGACAAGACTTTCATTTTTATCATCACTAAAACAAAAGTCCATAAGCTAAGTTTGAAAACCTTTGAGTTATATCAGTCCTTTCCATTGGAAACGGAAGACCTTAATTCGGTACATCCCTCTCATTATTTTTAGAATCGGTAGGAGAAGAAAGTAGTGCAGGAAAATTACAAGTTCCTCAATTTGCAGACTTGCATAAACGAAATCTGGCAGATGTACTGAACTGAGCCTCATACTTGTTAATTGGCAGTATCTTTCCTATCATAAAAGCTTGGGAAATGTAATTTATGAAGAAGATCAGCCGAATTATTTTGTGTATTGTAACGCCAGTGGGAACTCTGAAATTTCCCTCTTTCACTTTCATTTTAGAGGTTCTACCGAAAAACGAATCTGACATGCCACCATCAATTCGAGCATTTCTGCATTGCAGAGAGCTGATGTGTGTTATGAGATGATAAATCATGTGTGAACTTTCTCAGTTTAGCGAAATCATGAACATTTTCGGCGAGATGAATGTTTTGTATACAGTGGTGATCAAGGCTTTACGAACCATCAGGAGCGGATCAAAGAATTTATGAATGAATAAAAACTATGGAAATGACGTACCAATTTTTTAATTTATACTTGCACTATCTAATGAAATGAATAATATACAAGTGATAGATATACAAGAAAACGCGAAATGATAATAAATGCAGCTGACAATCGTTATTTTTTTTTATATAGATAAAATAAAATATTTATAAATTCAAGAGACAAAACAGAAGGAGAATGAATGATGGCAAAATATCACATGACAGGAACTGAATTTTATGAATGAAGATTTTAAAAAGTTACTTGTAAGTTGTATATGTTATATCTGTGTATTCTACTTGGCTGTGTGCTTCAAAAAAAAAGGGGGGGGGTCGTCTTGAACATAGTAAATAGCCATAACGTTTGAACGGTAAGTACTAGGGCTTTCGTATTTCAAATATGTAATCCTTGTGAAAAGAACTTTTATTGGATACGACGAACTTTGACCCTTTGACCTAGACCTTGGAGAACACATGTGTACATCTGAATCTTTTTTTCTGTTTCGTTTCTATGGCAACCGTGAGCGACTCATTACAATTATTTTGAAAGTAGAAATCACTTTGACACAATGCAAGGAATAAACATTGAAAGTTTCAAAACGATTGCCTGAGTAGTTATTGAGAAAATCGAAATTAAAGAATTTTTACTTTCACCCGGTTTCCATGGCAATAATTGATTATATGAAAATTTTAAATACGAGTTGCAGAACTACAGATACTAATCCTTAAAATAAGAAAAGTTTCATGACGAACGTTTAAGGGACCAGAGAGAACACTCTCGGACAAAATTTGTCGCTTTTTACAGGTTTCCATGGCAACGGTAGACATATTGGAACTGAACGACCTCACTGCACAACTACAACCAGTGATCGTCCTTTGAGGAAAGTTTCAGGAAGATTGTCCCAGCCATCTCCGAGAAACAGCCTGTATAAAAAAAACATGCGTACAATATCAATATGTCGTCCCCGACTTCGTTCGGGGCGACATAATAAGAAACAGAGTAAAAACAATATATAACATTTTTGAATAAGTTTTCCCATTATATCACAAATATAATATTTTTATCCATATGCCCAGAAAAACTGCCGAATCACGCCGGATACAGTTATGTTCCCCGGAAACGGTTATGTTGCCCTCCTGAACACAGTTATGTTCCCTCGCGTGCAATCATTCTGCGTATTAATTACGTCGGGTTCGAAATTCACAGAGGCAGTTGCTAAGCAAACATAAACAGTTCCGCGAAAGTTAAAAAGTTGAGGCAACGTCTGCGATTTGTTTATTTGAATTCAGAGGTATTTGATAATTTATTTGAGGAGAAAAATTCTTTAAATACAACAAAGGTTATCAACACAAGTGTCAGCATACTGAAAACATTCTGCCATGAAACAGGACAGGATATTTCGGAATTATACTCAACGTACATGTATATCATTATGTGAACATAGTGTTCAACAAATATTTTCGATGATCGATTCGGGTTCAATGCTTAAAAATGTTACATACCATATATTACATGGCTTAATTCTCGGGCAGCAATACCATAATATTTGCCCCTCGGTGACAGGAAAGCCCTGGAGTGTTATGTCGCCCTCTGCCTGCGGCATCGGGCGACATAACACTCCAGGGCTTTCCTGTCACCTTGGGGCAAATATTCTGGTATGCTGCCCTCGAAGCCATGTAATATATGTATAATGTTCCCCAACTTCGTTTGGGGAACATAATAAAGCCTTTGACGATTGTTATTTTTAACGAAATGTATGCATCGTCTGAAATTTGGTTTTTTTTTTTTTTTGAAGAAAATGGAAGGCTATATAATGGTGGTTTTATAATCGGAATAAGCATCGACTTATCTTCAAATGCGATATTCCGAGCAGGTTAGTATATCTTAGGTTTGAATAATCTCAAAGCAAAGCAATGATATTTGACGGGGTACATGTATATTAATTGATTTGAATAATACTTTTCATTAATCATTGCCCGTCGCCTGTCCATAACTCTGCCACCTGTAGTCTTTTTTCTAACATTGTGCTTAGAATGACAAAACCAATGACACATATACTTTTTACGTAGTAGTATTCTAGTTAGCTTATTGTTTAACATCTTAATAATTCTCTTCCAATATTTAGATGTAAGGGAAAAAATCATAGCATTGATGATCAACTTTTCATCCACAAGAAAGCCAAAAGTATTGTAAAACTTATGACAGACAAACATCCTATGGCCGTCCAAATTTTAATTTTTATGAAAGCATAATCTACATGTCCAGAGGTGTGACTGTTAAAGTTAGAAAGTTTCATGCAAGACCTCTGACGTATAATGTTTAATTAGAAAAAAAAATTAAACGTTCCCATGAAATATTTTCCTCTAAATCTAAACTACAAAAACATATAATTATATTTTTATTAGCATGCTACGAGGTTTCATTGAGTTACTTTTGTCTCAGTAATACCTGCACGAATCATTTTGACAAACAGAAGTAAGTGGTTTGTTGAGGGTTACATTAGGCCTTTCCTTCCTTTTATATTTATTGTGTTATATTTTTTACTTATCTTCTATACTGATTATTTATTAAGCATTCAAGAAATCAACAAATTTAACCTTTTTTTTAAAAAAAAAACATTTTAACTTAACGTTTTCATCGCCTCATATGTGTTTCTTTCTTCTTTAATACAGAAAGCAGAGGACTATATAATAATTGTTCAACCCTAAAGAACTTCGAAAGAAACAAGATTTTTACTATTTATTTGAAGATGATACCCAAAATCGGTAAGTGTACGTTACGGTTTAAATACCTACAATATAAAGGAAAGATAAATTGAGGGGTATGTAAAGTCAGCTGAATCATATTTTTGATCAATCAATGTCCGGCCCCAGTCTGTCACTATGTCAAATCTTGTCTAAATCCTTAAAATTATAAAGATTGAGATTAGAATGGCATCAATATTTTCACCATGAAGTACTTTGTGATATGATGAATTAAATTTTTGAAATATGCCTGACTTTCTTCCATATTTTGAAGTTGGGAAAAATTTATTGATATTATTGACGAATTGTAAATTTTCTGGAAATAATGCAAGAAGGATATGGAAATAAGAACATTATTCAATCTCAACGTCCATTAAACAATGGAGAGCAAACACGGACCTCAGAAACATCAGAGGTGGGATCAGGTGCCATGGAGGAGTGAGCATCCCCTGCCGACCGGTCACACCCGCCGTGTGCTCGTTGTCATAATCAGGAAATAACGGAAAAAATCCGTCGTCAATCCAGTGTATAAACAATGGACTAACAATTGGTATGAAAAACGTCAGTCAGCATTTCATTCAATGATAAATTGTATTTGCTGACAAGGTCATTGTATCGACCATAGAATTTACGAAATGATGACTTTAAACGAGACTGTTGATATTCTTGTTTCATCAACTTGCTTGTCAATGATTTACCTCGTTTAAGAAATTGTTCATACGTAGAGCATGCTCTTGCGTATCGAATCAACTGAGATATATATACTCCGTATGCAGGTGATGAAGGTATATTGCTGCATAAGTAAGGGAAGTTGACGATAGAAAAGTTAAAGTCATCACGTTAATCATATAGCTTGGTTGTTAGATTACCATTAGTGTCTTTTTCAAGTAAAATATCCAAGTATGAAGCAGAAGTGTCGGACTCTGTGGTATCTCAAGCTCACCAGGATATATCGTATCTACGTAGGAATGGAAATTATCATTATTAATTGACAATACGTCGTCGATATATCTAAATGTCGAGTTGAAGGCCACGGCAAGTGTTTTCTTCTTTTCACGCATAAGATTTTGCATAAATTCTGCTTCATATGAATATAAAAAAAAGTCTGCTAATAACGGAGCGAAATTTGTACCCATGGGAATTCCAATAGCAAGCAGCAAGAAAAGATTAATTGATTCTAGTATAAGTTACAATCCTCACACTGTGATAGTTTTTTTCAAAATTGCTATAAGTGAATAACGGAAACTAAAAAAAGACAGGCCTATAAGAATTGGGCAAGAATGTCACTGTGCAACTACATTTGAGGAGACAGACGGAATATATGTTTTTCAAATCTTTATAATTTCATACCTGTACATATATATACTTTGGTTACATATTTTAATGTTTGATCATATCATAGTAATTAAGATATTTCATATTATGTCTATAATCGTATTTAGTAATTAGAGAATTTGATTCTGGTAATTGGAATATTTTCTTCGAAAAATTGAACCCTTCCCGAACCTGAACCTTTGAACCTTTCGTCATTTTTGACGTTGCAGAATGCTCCGGGTGTTAGAGAACGATATCACTTCAAATCTCATTACTCGAATTGTTTTTTTTTAAGTTAACATTATGAAACTTCTTAATAAGACCACACTTTATAAAAATATATATTATTTTCGTTAAAAGATATGAAATCAGTCTTCGATATTTTGGGACAACCCTCGTACATTATAAATTTCAGTCTGTCACTTTGTCATCTGTAGTTTATAACCTTTCACACATGATAGACCAAAAAAAAATGTCAAAACCAATGATATCAATAATATTCACCAAGGAGTACTCAATTAGATGATGATTTATCGACCTAACTTTCAAATCTTGAATTAGAGAAAAGTTATTACAATGAGGGCAGAATTTTCAATTTTCTAGGAACAATATAACAAGAAACAAACTAATCCAATAATTTATATATTACCATCATGACGTCATGATTATTTTTTTCGTTTAACAATGAACAGGAAGGATCTGCTATTAGTACGAATATTTCAACAAGACTGACAATCGCATGAAGAAGAAAAATGTTATTTCAAAGATGGCTGTAAAACTCTATACCTATAAATTTCAGTTTCAGAGACATTTAACCTATTTTCAGTGAGCATGCAGTTTCCCTACTGTAGAAGTACTTTTTCCGCGTAGGATTAATTTTCGATATATACGCAGTCACAATTTTTCCACGGAAATTTGGCCAGGCTTACTTTGTATAAATGTTAGGCATACAGTGACAGTCTGAGATATCAGCGTAATTTTCTACCCGCGGACTAAAAGGAAATTGAGATTCCGCGGAATTATCACCCGTGGAAAAAATACCTTTACAGTGTTTTTATCCATCTACATATTAAGAGAAATAGCAGAAATAAGTGATTTGTGGGAAAAGAAGTATGCACTGAACCTTGTTTTTTTTTATTGTCCTCATCCTCTATACAACGGTTTTATGTCCAAGTAAATTAATCCTTAAAAGATTCACTGTTTTCTACTAAATTAATACATTGTGTAAATTTTTTTCTCTTCTCTTTCACAGCAAAAAGCGGGCTTTATTTTACATTTCCATACGTAGAATTAGACGTTAACACAATGACGTCAAATACTTCGATGGAGTCAATATATAAAAATGGTAAGTATATGTTAGATGCAAGATTCAGATAATACATGCATTAAGGTAGAATGTTTGCCATTTATGATATCATATGAAAATAAGCTTTTCATCAGGTATGGTAAATTGTATTTTTTTAGAGGAAGAAGGACCTTTAGCTGAAAAAAACCTGTTGTTTATTTTTTTTTCATATTTCGTATATACCTTATTTAGTATTTCCCACATACCATAAAGATACATAAATAGGTTTTTAGACTTATTTCTGAGATATTAAGTGAAAAATACTATGCCCCACAGTGTCTGAGTGGAGTATTGATTCTCCGTGTTGCTGGGCCATTATTCAGTCGATAATTGATTTTTTCAGCACAGATAAAAATATGTCAGAGGAAATGTGTCTTTTGAAATATTTCAGAGTACATGTATAAATTGGGTTAAAAATTCGAAAAAGCAAGATTCTTTTGTGACACCGCATCTGGAGATGAAAATTAAAATTACGTACTTATAAAGACAACTTAAACAACAAAAAATTAAATTGCAAAAAATCCTATCATTAAATATTTGAAAATTTACATTGAAATTCAAGTTCGTCATGTAATTGATTTACTGTAAAAATTTCAGTTAGTGAAGCTGAGCTCAATATTGCAAAGGAAACATTTAAACAAGACATGAACATGAGAAAAACGTGTCATATTTAAAAATAATAATAATAATAATAATACTTTATTTACAGAAGGTGGCCTGATTAGTGTGACATAGTATTTTTCCTCAGGGCCTTCTAATTATAACAACAGTATTACATCAAATTAGCAAAGATGAACAACTTAAAAAGTGAATTATAATACACCTATATACACAATGTCACATGATAATAATGATAGTCATAATGAAATAATAAAATAGTAATAGTAAACAGATATATTTATATGACATAAAAAGTAATATAATGTCATATGAGTAAGATTTAACAATGTATAATTATATACATGTGCAAAAGATATACATAATTCAGAGTAATAAAGTTCTGCTATTGAAGATAATATACTTTTCTACATTTCGTTGTTTCATCGACTTGCTTGTCAATAATTTACCTCGTTTTAAAAATTGTTCATACGTACAGCATGCTCTCGTGTATCGAATCAACTGAGGTATATACACTCCGTATGCAGGTGATGAAGGTATATTGCTGCATAAGTAAGGGAAGTTGACGATAGAAAAGTTAGAGTCGTCACGTTTATCATATAACTTGGGTTGTTAGATTACCATTAACGTCTTCTTCAAGTAAAATATCCAAGTATCAAACAGGTGTTTCAGACTCTGTGGTATCATTTATCTCAAGCTCACCACGATATATCGTATCGACGTAGGAATTGAAATGACTATTGTTAATTGACAATACGTCCTCAATATACTGTGTACAGGGAAATTTTCGCTTTTTTTAATTTTCGCCCCTTTCGCCCTACTTCCATTTGGTCGAATTTTAAACGGGGCGAATTCAAAGAATACAGCATAACTTCTTAAACAAAACTGTGACTGGGCGAATTTAAAACGGGGTAAAATTGTTTGCAAGGTGAAAGGACGAAAATTAGACGGGCGAAAATAACCCTGTATACAGTATCTAAATGTCGAGTTCAAGGCCACAGCAAGTGTTTTCAAATAATAGATTTCTAGAATATAAAGAATTTATTAACCTTCTGTGATGTTCAAAATTTTGCATCTCTGAAGCCATCCTTATTAATCTATACAATTTTTTTCACTTCAAATCTCATTTTTGTGAAAATTCTAATAAAAAATTAAAAACTACGCCGTGAAAGTTATTCATGCTACTTATAAAAACATGACTCAGGTTGATTATTTCATATCTTTTCACAAAAGTTTGTTTGTATCATCTGTCCTTAAATGCTATGAGGTCATACAATTGTACTACAATGCAATTGCTCTGTAGCACACTTGTTCCCGTTTTTTGGTTCTGATTTTTATCAAAAATACTTGACAAAAACTTCTCAATATTTTTTTTTGCACAGCAACCAACCTATGTGACCATTTTTTTAATTAGCATCTTACGAGGTTTCATTATCTCTTCTGGTTTCTGAATTCGAAATTATATAATAATTTTTTTTATTTTCTATTTTAATAAGCAAACATTGGACTATATAATACATTTTCAATGGTTTATTAAGAATCACAAATCAAAAGAAAATTTGTATTTTTTATGATATATAAACAAGAAAGGTAATATCAAGAGTAGAATTTCTGAGAAAGATTACCATCACATGACCGTTAATATGTAAATTTATTTTTAAGCAATATTTTAAAGGTACAGGGGTTCGATTGCTTACGTTAGGAAGTTTCATATAACACCTCTGATTTTTATATAAATGAAAAATATGTTTTTGAAAGTTCGTATTATATTTTCCATGAGATAAACATTTCTAAAGTTGCTTTTAAATTTTTACTTGAAATTTTAATTACAAAAACCTTTAATATAGTTTCTTTATTAGCTTGCTACGTGGTTTCATTGGATTATTCTTGTTTCTGTAATACATAGATGTAATAGATATATTTTTGTGACAAAGAAAAGGTAGTGGTAGAGTTGAGGTGACATGTTTTTCTACTTTATATTAATTAATTCGTTTTTTTTATTTGTTTCCATTAAGAGACTGATTATTTATAAATTCAGTTTAATGTTATCAACAATTGTTTTCTTTCAAATACTTTTTTTAATTTTAAATGTATACATTGTTTCAAATATTTCCTTTTTCTTTAGAAAACATAGGACTTCCAAATAATAGTTCTACCCTAAAATTTACCAAAAGAACCATGGGTCTAGTTACTGATATAAAGATGAAAATTAATATTGGTAAGTATACTTTAGGTGTCAATTTGAATATCAAACATGTTATGGAATGACAAATTCAGGGGTATATTAAGTCATCTTAATAATATTTTTGATCAAACAATGTCAATCGTTAGTCAGTCATTTTGTCACCTGTTGTCCTAATTCCTTCAAAAATTGTGCTCAGATCTACAAACCTTGTGGCATCATTCCATAAGCTTGCTACTTTTATACATCTACATATGAATTCAACAAGTAAAAATCAATGAATTGTGGTAAAGAAATTTGACATAATCTTTTTTAAAAAATTATTACTTTGGTCATTTTATTAAAATTCTCATTCTGTTAAAAGGATTATATGACGTAAATCAATCATAAAAAAAATAAAAACATCTTTCAAATATTCAAATTATTTATTTACAGAATTTATATATTACTTATAATCATTATTTCTTCTTTAACTAAGGAACCATTGGACTATTTTATACATTTCCAAAAGTAGAATTGGACTTAAGCAAATCTACTACAACTACTTCAATGGAAAAGATATATAAAAGCGGTAGGTATTTGTAAGATACAGGTTTGAATACTATAAATGTTTAATATATGGCGTGTCTATTTTCAGTAATTCTAATGTAATCCAATGAAAAACTTGGGGGTGTATGACCTTGGCTAAATCATTTTTAGTATGACCAATAAATGTCAATGTTTCAGACTTTCCGTTGTCATATATAGTCTTAAACTTATAATAATGTGTTCTGAATAACAAATACAATTTCAATCAACATGTACAAAAAATGCACCTAAAAACGATAATGATTTACTGCAAAACGAGAAATCTTGGCGCATACACATTTTAGCGCAAACGCATGAGGGAATGTGTTGGTACAAAAATAAATTAGCGCTTGCACTTATCATTAACATATATAAATGTGATATTTTGTTTTTTTTTTCCACACCCGTATTTGACTCTTTGGTTAGTCAAGCAGAGAATCACCAAGGCACTCCAGTATATAAGTAAATATTCGCCAACTTTACTATGGTGTTGCAATCAAATGGACATGGCACAATGTTAGAATTTATTAATATTTTTATTTTAAATAAAAGAACTGGAGTATTATCATAATTTATTCATATTAAAACAATGCATCTCTCAAAAGAAAGTAACTGGGGTACACAGAAATCATAATCAGGTATATTGTCTGCAAGCTCAATGGCCAAACTTGATTGCATTGTTTACCTCCAGCCGATAGGTGATTACCACGCTGAGAACCCATGCAAGCTTTGATGGTGCTAATATTTACAATCGGGTAACAATTACCAAGGTATCAATAGACAAATTTAATTATATATAGAATTTGGTTCTGAATAACAAATACAATTTCAATCAACATGTACAAAAAATGCACCTAAATACGAGAATGATTTACTGCAAAACGAGAAATCTTGGCGCATACGCATTTTAGCGCAAACGCATGAGGGAATGTGTTGGTACAAAAATAAATTGGCGCTTGCACTTATCATTAGAATATATAAATGTGATATTTTTTTTTTTTCCACACCCATATTTGACTCCTTGGTTAGTCAAGCACAGAATAACCAAGGCACTACAGTATATAAGTAAATATTCGCCAACTTTACCATGGTGTTGCAATCAAATGGACGTGGCACAAAGTTAGAATTTATTATTTTTTATTAAAATAAAAGAACTGGGGAATTATCATATTTTTTTCATATTAAAACAATGCATCTCTCAAAAGAAAGGAACTGGGGCAAACAGTCATCATAATCAGGTATATTGTCTGCAAGCTCAATCGCCAAACTTGATTGCATTGTTTACCTCCAGCCGATAGGTGATTACCACGCTGAGAACCCATGCAAGCTTTGCAATCAAATGGATACAAAGTTAGAATTTATTATTTTTTATTAAAATAAAAGAACTGGGGAATATCATATTTTTTTCATATTAAAACAATGCATCTCTCAAAAGAAAGAACTGGGCCAGTTACAAATTTAATTAGCAGTTAATTTTAGTGTGTATATGAAATCCATCAACCCTTTGAAATTACGTAATCGGGCGTTCCGGTTTACATGTACTAATGTAA